CCTAAACCCTAAACCCGAAGAAGATGTCCCTCCTTCACCGTGTATGCGCTTTCGGGCTCCCCATCCCAGAGCCATTCCCCCGGAGTCAGAGGAAGCACAGTTCCGTTGGGCCAGCGCCGTGCCTGGGGTTTAGGGTTTTAGGGTTTATGGGATCAGGGTTTGTAGGCTTTAGAGCTTAGGGTCTAGGCCGTGCCTAGGGCTCAGAATTGGCATTATATAGGAGGCTTTATAAGGATAATGGAAAAGCAAATGACAACTACTATTTAGGATTTAGGGTTCAGGGTTGCGGGTGTAGCTTGGGGTTTAGGGTCTTGGGTTTTTCAAGGTAAAGCATAAGACTAGATTTTGTCGAGGTGTACCTGTTCGACGGAGGTACAGATCTGGATTCGGAAGCTCATATGCGAGAGACCACAACATGGGGCACGGGCCCCTGAACCCTGAACCCCTAAACTCCTACATCTCAAGTTATAGAACAGACTCCCAAGTGAAACTCTAGACCCAAAGTCTCCTAAACCGTCAAACTTTCCAGAAACCCTAAACCTTGTAAATTTACTATCCCTATATAGCTGCTATATATCTATCCCCTATAAGCCGTTTACATGAGCCACCCCGATTTTCGAAGAGCTGCGTACGGACCGCCCTCCGACGGCACGTGGGTACGAGCCCTGCCCCTTTTGCCGCAGTCAGGAACCTGTCGCCAGCTGAAGTTGTTCGTGGAAGGGTTTACGTAGGGTTTAGGGTTATGGAGCTCGCTCAAACCAAACCCCAACAGCATGTGAGGGATTGGGGTTTCAGGTTTGGGGTGTATAGGGTAGACAAGCCCACAAAACTATGCAGAATAATGTCCCTGTTGGCATTTTGAATTGGTCTGGGGCCATCATCTTACCTACCTTTAGGGTGTAGGAAGTTGTTCATGGAGTTTAGATTGGGTACGGCCCCTTCCCATTTGATACAGGGTTTTGCACAGGACTAAATAGGTCATACAATCGCAAGTCGTGGTGGAAGCTTGGGGGTCAAGATTTAAATCTTTGCGCGGGATCTGCACTGCATACTAATGGGCAAAACATGTGGTAGAACACACTTGGGGCATAACCCTCATTCTTCGGACGTCTATATTGCCTATCATAACGCTAGCCTCATTTCATGTTAGAGTACCATGACAAAAGCTGAAACCTTGAACTCCCTGTTGAGTTCTAGTTAACTACGAAGAGAAACCGTTTTCAATAATGACCCGGGAAACCCTCTCTAAACCCTAAATCCTAAACTCATCACCGAAAATCTTGAGTTTATGTTCTTCTCATGTTGTAAAGTGGTCGTATGGCCTGAATAGTTTACGATAGACGGTACAGGTTTTGTGATAAGGGGAAAGAAGCACCATACATTGTTCCTTACCACAAGCGACTACCGCTGCAACACAATCACCTGTGAGCTACATGGGGATCCGGGTTTGGGGTTTAGGGTTTGGGGTTGGGAGGACGGCAGTTTGTAACTCCTCAACCTTGAGTTAAATCCAAAAAGCGGTTGAACCTCAAATGTAAGACCCCCCAGCCCTGGACCCGAAACCCTGAATCCAAAGCCCCTATACTTGAAACCTGAAGTACAATGCGGGTTTAGGCCCTGAACTTAGAAAAGACCTTAAACCCTAAACCGTGTGAGTCGTGGAGCTGTTGGAGGGCAGCCAAAGATTTTGATCTCTCCGCCGCCGAAGTCCTCCCCGTGGGAGGAGAAGGAGACTGCCAAAGAGATGCAATGTTCACCTTCCAGGGTTTAGATAGGGATTAGGTTTTAGAGTTCAGGGTTTGGGGGTTGGAGTTTAGAGTTTAGGGTTTAGACTTTAGAGTTCAGGGTTTGCTTTTTTTAGGGTTTGGAGTTTAGGGTTTGGGGTTTAGAGTTCAGGGTTTGGGGTTTAACGTGTAGGGATTTGCCAATAAGGTTGTGTGCCGACATATGGGTAGTAGGCGTTTATTGGGAGCATATCGGGGGAACCGTTTGGGGGTATAACCCTGGAACCTTGATCCGTCTCAGGATCCATATCATATGTGTCGGCTTCTCGAAGCAGGTCCTTAAAAAAGATGGCAGACGTTCAGCGCTAAACCCTCAACCCTAGGATACATGCGGTTTAGGTTTACGGAATAAGGTTATGGTCATGCTGGTTTGTCACAATTGGGGGGGGGATCCTAAGGGTTGTAGGGCATGTCATGTTGGGATAGTACGAATCTTTGAGCGAAGCTCATATTTATCAACCATAGTTTAGACTCCGATTGTCCCCCCTTGATAACCCCTATAGTAGTCCCTATATTATATAACCCCTTATATAACCCCCTTTGAGGAGTTATATAACCCCCTTGAAGAAGTTTAGACCTTACACCCATTAAGGAGTTTAGACCCTAAACCCTGGACCCTCTTTATCTACAAATATATATGTATGTATATACTCCCCTATATATGACCCCTTTGAGGAGTTTAGACCCTAAACCCTAAACCCTATATAACCCTAGACCCTATATAATCCCCCTATAAAACCCTATATAACCCTAAACCCTATATAACCCTAAACCCTATATAATCCCCTATATAACCCCCCTTTAAGGAGCTTAGCTTATGGCTCACGACCTTGCCTGCGACAACCATCAAATGTTTAGGGTTCAGAGGTTTAGGGTTTAGAACTTAGAGGTTTAGAGGTTTAGGGTTTAGGTTCTAGAGGTTTAGGGTTTAGGGTTTAGAGGCTTAGGCCCTAGGGTTTAGAGGTTTAGGGTTTGGGTTTTAGTGTTTAACGAGTAATTGCCCTAAACCCGATAAACCCTAAATCCTAAACCGAAACCCTAAACCTACTGGGGTTTGAAAGGGTGTTGGGAATCTAGAGTTTCTGGTGCTAGGGTCTGGCTTGTGGTGTCTGTGCATACATGAAAGAAAAAAGCTGAAAACTTTCGCCTCTTGAGGGATTCAATCCCGAGGGATTCAATCACCTTCAAGATAAGCAACTAGAATAGCATTTTGAGGTTCCATTGAAACCCTGAGCCCTGAACCCTATACCTCCTACACCCTAAAACCCAGAAAACCCCAGCAAATCTCTGATTCATCCTAAACTCCCAACCTTTGTCCGTGTCCGGGTGCAAGATATGCTTGCCGCCAGGGAGGTAATGCCTGGGTTGGGATAAGGTTTAGCTTTGAGGGTTTAGGATAGGGGGTTCAGGGTGGTAAGGTGTTTGATTTGGGGGCTTGGGGGTTGGGGTTTAGGGGTTTTGGATTTAGGGCTACGGCCTTAGGTTAGGGCAGCAACCTCGACGCTTCATCCTACTCCCGCACGCTGTCACCTCAAGAAAACAGCAATGTCTTCAGTGGCCAACCCCTAGGAAAACAAAGTTTCCACTTCAAGTTACATGTGCTTTCGCATTTGCTTCTCCAATATTGGAAAACATTCGGCCCCTGACGTAGGTTATTTGGACTGCTCTTTTTCAAAAATATTGTGCGGTAATCCGTCCCTGAAATCCTAAACCCTATGTCTCACCAATATATATATATATAATCCCCCCACGTAAACCCCTAAGCCCGAGCCCCTAAACCCTGAACCGCCTAACCCCTAAACACTAAGCCCCAATATACACACACATATGACCTTAAACCCCTAGACCCTAACCCCTAAACCCTAAACCCCTAAACCCTAAACCCCTAAACCCTAAGCCCCTAAACCCCTAAATCCCTCAACCCTAAGCCCCTAAATCCCTAAATCCCTCAACCCTAAATCCCATACCCTCAACCCCAAACCCTAAATCCCTAAACCCTAAATCCCTAAAGCCTAAACCCTAAACCCCTAAATCCCTAAACCCTAAAAGCCATTCACCGAAGAGCTGGAAGCTAAGCACTATAATACTCCCCTGTATAATCCCCTATATAATCCCCCGTCTAAGGACTTTAGACTATAGCTGATATGACCATAAACCCTAAACCCCTAAATCCCTAACGCCTAAATCCCTAAACCCCTAAACCCCAAACCCAAAACCCCTAAATCCCTAAACCCCTAAATCCCTAAACTCTAAATCCCTAAAACCCTAAACCCTAAACCCCCAAACCCCTAAATCCCTAAACCCCTAAACCCCTAACCCCCCCAAACCCCCTAAACCCTAAAAACCACTTCACCGAAGGAGCTGGAAGGTGGCCCAGTGAGGCCACACCCGGCCCGCGTAGTCGTAGGCCGTCACGGCCGGTGATCCCAGGGCATCGTTCCTGGTCTTGGCTTAATTTTAGGGGTTTGGGGTTTAGGGTTTCTAGGGTTTAGGGTTTAGGGTTTATAGGGTTTAGGGTTAATTTAGGGCTTGGGGTTTTGGCTTTGTTTAGGGGGTTTAGAGTTTGGGCTTAATTTAGGGTTTGGGGTTCAAGGGCTTAGGGTGTAAAGTCTAGGGCTTAGGGTTTAAGGTTTCGGGGCTTAGCGTCTAGGGTTTAAGGCTTGCCATGCTCCTACACCCTAAATTCTAAGACAGTCCTAAGCCCTGCCTTGGGAAAAGCCAAGGATCACCAGCGATAGCGACCTCGCCGTAACGTTTAGCAGAAGCCGCAGATCCTGCCAAGTAGGTTTTAGGTTTTTTTGGTTGAACGGACCTTTAGGTAACCAGAGTACCAGGAAGCAAGGTCGGAGATAGGTCATACTCCTCTAGGAATTAGGGTTTAGAGTTCAGGGTTTTGGTAATCTTTTACTAATATCAACAGTGAACCCCATGTATCCCAAAATTATTCCAGGTGTGGACAGATAGTGGACCCCGGGCTGCTTTCGGGTCGTATAGTGCTGATTCTATTGTACATCCAGGACGCCAACCCCAGTTGAGCAACGACCACCTTCTGAAACCCTTCATCAACAGTATAATTCTTCAACCTTCACAACTGCCAAGCCTACTCCAATCCCCAAACGCCAATCCCAGAAGGGTCAAACCATGGACCTTGATCCAGGATCCAAGACCATGACCCTGCACGCCAGACTTTAAATTGGAATGCTACACCCCAAAACCCTAAACCCCGAGCTCTACAAACCTTACATCCCAAACACCAAGCACTAAACCCCCAACAGCCCCAACGCAGCTTGGCGCCCTGGAAGATAGAGTTAGGATTTACGGTGGTTTAGCGTTTAGGGTTTGGGGTTTTGGGTTTGGGAGAGCTACAAAGGGCAGCCTCCATGAACCAAAATCATCCCCAATAATCCCTGCTAATGCCGTAAAATCCAAGCCCTAAGCCCTAGAAACTACATACTCCTGTATAGCCCCCCTACACCCTAAGGGCCTAAATCCCCAACCCAAAGCCCTAGACCTAACATCCCCCTGTATAGCTCCCCTAAACCCTGAGCCCTTTTGAAACCCCTAATTCCAAAACCCTAATCCCTAGACCTTAATCACATACCCCTGTATAACACACCCTAACAAATAAATCCGGCGGCCTTTGAAAACCCTAGGCCCCAGACCTTAATTCGCCGAGGCTGTCCAGCCTCAGGGCGTTAAAAACCCCTCTACTCCCCCTTGCAGACACGCCTCAGCCTGGCCACCCCCCCCCCCCCTGCCATGGTGGGTGGCCTAGTCCAGCCCGACCATCCCGCATGAAATTTCAGCCTCGCCCAAGGTTCGAGGCTTTGGCGGTACGCGGCGGGCGCATTTTTCGTTCAAAACTAAGTTTT